CCCGAGGTCTTTACTAAGGATGCCTTGGAAACCCTCCAAGATCTTACACCTAAGTTCCTCGGGAACCCCGCTCGAGGTCTTTCACGCAAGTATCACAAATAACTAGCATACCACATATCCCATAACCAAGTAGCATATCACATAACAAATAATGGGCCGGCCTTGGTGCTTTCGACCCATTGGTATGGTGAGGAGACTCACCTCTCAAGAAATGCTGAACTGATAAGATAAGTCCCAATGCGCGACTCCAACTCAACTGCTTACAACCATCAGGTGTCTGACTTTGTCAAAATCCTGAAATACCAAAAATACCCTCAAAGTCAAACTTGGTCAACCATGGTCAAAGACAAAGTCAACAGTCATGTTTAACAGTCCATGTTGACCCAACTCATGGAGTGAATCTAGCAACTCGTCGAGTTCCTTCAGTGTTCAGAAAACCAGGGAGAACCCTAACCAACTCGCCGAGTTATCTTATCAACTCGCCGAGTTCACTTTGCATACAGAAAACGGGAAAACCCGATCCAACTCGTCGAGTTGCCAGGGCAACTCGTCGAGTTTTCCCATGTCTTAACATATTCATCCCTTCCAGTCGAATCTAAATCCCTAAACTACAGATCCAGTCCCTTAGGACTGAAATATCACGTAAAGTTGCTAACTTTACGTGCATGCAAGGCCTCAAGAGGCTAAAACAGTAAAACTAAGTTTAGTAAAAGGTTTAGGGCATGGAGGAGGGCCAAGACTAGATAAAATGGACAACTTTATGTCCATGGATGCCTAGAGGTGTCCAGATCTGAAACCATATCCTCATGACAAGTTCAAATCCGAGAATGACACCATTATGCACCAAAAGTGACCATATACTTTCATAAGAGGGGATCTAAGCAAATAAAGGTCAAGGTAGCAACTTTATACGTCAAGATGGTTTCCTAGACAGAGTAGATGTCGGATCTACTGCTTCTCCCTTTACTCCAACCTCTTCAAGCTCCAAGTTCCTTCACAACCACACCAAAATGACTCTCCAAAGCTCTCACATACACTTAAGAAGGTATAAGGCTTGAACTAGGGTTTCTATGGGCTGTAAGGACGACTAGGGAGGCCACAAATGAGCCATAAGTTCTTTATATAAGGTACAAACCCTGAAAATTAGGGTTTTCATTTCCAGCGTCTACTCGTCGAGTTAGGCCTTCTAATTCGTCAAGTAGACCCTTCATCCCGCGTCCATAATGATCCATACTCGATGAGTTGGAGCTCCCCAACTCGTCGAGTCCCAGTGCAAAACCCTAAATATTTATAGAAATGAATGATACCTGGAACAAGCGTTACAATATACCCCAAGGCAGGGCCCACTACAGTATGATCAGGTTGAAATAGACCCCAGGGAGGGGCCCATATGTACATATTGGATTGGATTATATCCCAGGGTTAAGCCCAATTGTGTGTTTGGTATGTGGTACTTTGGGGAACTCACTAAGCTTTATGCTTACAATTTATGTTTGTGGTTTCAGGTACATCCAGTTTGAAAGGGAAGGGCATGGCGTGATTGCACAACATCCCCCCTCATGATTTTTGCATTTGATATATTTCTACTCTGATGTTTTGAATATTATGACTTGGGTTAATTATGAACAATTAAAGAATGAATTGATAAACTTTTAAAAGAAAAATTTTATTAGTGTTTTCGAGACGTTATAGTTGTGCTTTTTTAATGATATTTATTGGTTAAAAACGAATAGAAGCAATAACTAATTGAGTAGTTAACATTAAATCATAAGGGGAAACGTTTCCACTATTAAAGACACATATAGGGTTAGATTAAATCATGGATGCTTGGATAGATGGAAATGAAAAAGACATAGAGGGTACACAAAAGTCGAGGCATCTCATCAAGCATTTTGAACATCAGGGTTCCAATTATTGTTGCAATAGGAGAAAATAGAATGTAATTATAAACTTACGTTAAGAGAAGCAAGCATAAACAACGACTCTTATGTAGGTGAAAGCTATGGTGGTCGCACCTCACACACGTTGTGTGTTTCACGTTCCTCCTCTTTCCCGATTCCATGTGTCTTGGTTCGTAACCCTACTCGATTATTGCACATACTCATTTCTCGCCAATTATTAATTTCAGAAAAATAAAATTGTAAGTTTGTTCTTTCACTCCTTTGATCGTGAGAGAGAAATGTAGAGAAATTAAGCCGGAAAGAAAAAGGGATTAAGCTAGTTATGGTTCTAATTGATGAGTAGGATTAGCGGAGTGTATATCTATCCAGTAAAATTATAAGACGTCATTTCAAGTGCATCATGTATTTTTTATTTGTTTCTGACATTTAAACATAACATGCTTTTATGTCTGTTTGCACAATAATGACATTTATTTACAACATACGATTTTGCTTGTCATCAAACAAGTGTATGTCGTAACATGTCATTAAAGGTCCGTTTTATAATAGTATCATCTTGTATCTTAAAGGTACTCCTAAACGATCTTGGAGTTTAGGAAATTGGAATAAGGTATAGTTATGTGGATTCATATTATACATGTGATTTTGTCAGTAGAAGATCACTCGCATGTTGTGTCTTTATTATTGGAGATTATAGTACAATTTTCTATTGCTTTTGTACTATACAAGTTGAGTAAATGGTTGGTCGAGATCAATGTAAAGAAACTACTTCTCAAGGAGGTTTGTACAATAAATTATGTGGTGATTATATATTGTACATAATTTTTGTGATAGTTAAAGTGCTATATGCCCCTTGAATGATTTTATGTTTTGTAAGAGCATGAAGCACATTGTAAGAGAATGAAGCACATAGACATATGGCATCATTGATGGGTTTTATTCTAAACAAACAAAACTTAAACTCTTAAGTGTGCATGCAACCCTAATAAAGATCTATGTTTTCTCTATTGAATCTATAACTATGAACATCAAAAGGAAACCCTAAGAACACTAGGCTATTTTTGAAAATACCAAATTAGGGTTAAGAATTACATACCTTGATTGCTATTGTAGCAAATAACAATGAACACCTTCTTGTTGATCTCTTGGAAGCAAGCACCACAATTGTCATTCCTCTAATGGAATCACACCTAAGCTAGCAAAAGGATGAATATAGAGAGCTGAGAAGGGATAGCCAAATTCGTCCAAGGCTTCTTGAGGGAAGGAGTGCATGAAAATGTGAATGGCTAGGTCCTTTATATAGCTGAGGTAGCTTGGTGCCAAAGCTAGGGTTTAAGGAGGAAACCCTAAATTCCTTTGCTTGGTGACCAAGCAGCCCATTCCCCTTATCCAAGGGGATTGGACAAAAACTCTTTGGGCTTGCCCAAGTGATTTTCATCCACCTAGGTCCTTGGGCCTTCATTCTTCAACTTTCAATAAATAATCAAACAGTCCCTGCACTTTTAATTAATCTAATTAATCCTAAAATTAATTACAATTAATTTCTGATTAATTATTAATTAAATAATATGATTTCTAATTAATATATTATTTTCATAATACATTAATAAACCATTTATTTAATTTATTGTTCATATAATAAATCTCTCTCTCTCTCTCTCTCTCTCTCTCTCTCTCTCTCTGTTTAAAAGGCATCATGTCCGATTGCTAGGTTTGAGGGCAACCCAAAATGACTGTGCTACTATCAATTCAAGTTTATAACAATTATAGTTATGAGCTTAGACATCCAATCCAATAATCATTACATTAGAGATGTAATTTGCCAAGGCAAAATCAAGGTGATTAAGATCAACAATAAGCTAACTCTAGAGATATGACGAGAAAGCCTTTTTCGACATCCAAATTTGAATTTTTCACAAGTTTGGTTGATATTTAAGAATTAATACATATGGACTTATGGTAATATTGGTATTTTGATTTCTTATAGACAGAGGTGAGGGTAAAGCTAAAGAACATGGTCGATTGATACCTAAAAAATAGTAATATATATATATATATATATATATATATATATATATATATATATATATATATATATATATATATATATATAATTTAGGATCTATCTTAATGTTTTTGGCAAAAAAAATATGTACAAAAATCAATATTTCTAAAATAGTCCAAAATCCCAAATGCCTAATTTATTTGAAATTCGAATTTGTGTTCGTATCGTATTCATGTCAATTGTAAATAACATGACGTCATGTTGTGTCGAGTTTGTGTTCAAGATTAGACATGGAATTGACATGATATTATTATGTGTTTTTCGTGTATTATAAGATTAATTCTGAATTGAATTAACTAAAGGTGTATTTTATTTTATTGTTTCGAGTTTGTTGTAGTAGTCATTTTTATCATGTTTTAATTGAGTCGTTTTCGTGTTAGTAAAACAAAATAGGACATGGTTTCATGTTGTTTTCGTGTTATATAAAAATGTTTAATGTCGTGTCGTGTCATCTAAATACACGACACGGCTGCCCGGTTAATTGTCACCATGGCTAAATACATGTCGTTATGGTCTCCCCTATAGCTCACAATCGTGAACAAGCTGGCTCAAATGGGATCGAATTTAGGCAGGCAGTTTAATAATTTAACTTGAGGTTGGTGATTACTAATAGAATGTTTATGATATTGTAGCCTTCTAGACAACAGATCGGGTCAATTGGGGAACCATGTACCCAACTGATAGCAAAATAGGGACAATGACCTACAAGGTACAAATGTTTTCAAGTTTCTTTATTCATCTAATGTGTCATGTATTTTCGAAGCCTTAAATATTATTAGCATATAGAATCATATATTTACTTTCATTAGAAAGTTATCATAAACAGCGTATGATTTGCTACTACAACATCACAATTCATTTACTAATTACGTTACGAATATCTCATATATATTTACTTATACTGCAACACTTCTTGATAATAAAGTTTACAGAATGACAGAAGAGAGAGAGCATCATAGCCATCAATATAGTTATATGTCTTATTTTATTAGTAGAGTTGATGAGGGACTAAAAATCCGCTTTTCCTTAAATGATCAGGAACCGTCTCCATAAGTTTCAAAGGAGCTTTTACGTCGGCGCTCGTTATGCCCAGCTAAACGCCTACGACAACTTCTCTTGGCATTATCAAATTCTATTAGGTCATGGAACCTGCAGAAAAAACCAAAAAAGCAAAACCAATGTTATTTCTGTGATGAATAATATAAGAACCCGTAAGTCAAAATTTGTGTACCTTATATTGCATTTTTGTGTAGATTAAAAAACACAAACTGAAGTGTGCAAAATTTTGTTCACACACAACCATTAAATTTCAAGATGACCTGAAGTTTAGTTATCATTTTTGTTACTGTGGTTGGGTACTTTATGAATATTTTCTCCACTTAAATACCATTTTACTTTGTTGGGGGCCATATTGTTTCTCTAGTCTTTTCTATTAACCTTTTAAGAAAATCATTACCTTTACATCAACTCCTGGCTGGTTACCAGTAACATAATAAATCTAAGAGCCATGAATAATTCGTGACATTTTCTCCATATATATGGGATAGAAAACTACTTGCAGAAATATAGAAGTTCTGTTTAATTAGGATCCCAAAAATCACGCAATTTCGTAAGAAACCCATGCATATATATATGCTGCCACTAGGAGACTTTGAAAATAAATATTATTATGAATTTCATCATTGTAAAAGAGTCTTTTTTTTCCTGCTGCCATAGGCTCTCAATGTCTCCATCAGAAAATATGTCTCTCTATGTTTTCTTTATACATCTAAATCATTGCTATTGCTCAAGATTCCTCAACCTCCTGTAGATCACATCCAATATCGCGCCACAACCCACAGTTTCATCAAAAAAAAAATTCTCACCATTTAACATATCAAAAACTCAATGCCACAACTTTCATCAAAAGTATCAACCGGTATTTTCGTATCTGGTAGAGATAAATCTCGACTTGTGGAGTCGGTAGGCACTTGTATGTCTATTCCAGATGATGTTTACAAGGAGTTAACTCTAGATGTTGGTCCCCAACTCCCCATAAATTGGATTCCAGAAAGGGGACAAGGGGTGTTTTAGATGGTAGTAGTGTGTTTGTATGTCAAGGAAAGAATTCTCAAAGTAAAATTTTACTAGTGGAAGAAACGATGTTCTGTTATTGTACAGTCATGTACCTAAGTTAAAACGAAAAGCAAAGAAAAAAGAATCAAAGGAGAAGGTTACACTTATGGCCCGATACAAGATGGCAAATTTAATATTTATCATGGTTGCGACTTTTTTGGGGCATTTTCAAGTGCTCTCCAGCTAAATCCTAGGAAAAATTATGGCCCGATACAAGATACTTTAGGCCGACATAAGCACATGAAAAGTTGGTTAAATGATAAAAGCCCTTATATGTTATATTCTCTTCATATTCTCCCAACCCATAGTAGTAATAGAAACCCGAGGGCCAATTTTGAGTGATAAATATTATCTTTGGAAGGCCTTTGACCTAATATATCAAGCTTTAATCACCAACTAACGCAATTAAAGGTATGTGTTTATGTGTTCATGATTCCTTGAGCTAGTCATTTGTTGTATTAGTGTGGGTAAATTGGGGGTGTTTGGATTAGCTTATTGTTTATTAGCTTATTTGTGGTGAGAATAACCAATAAGCAATAAGTAAGGGAGGAGATGCTTATTAAAATTAGCTTATTTAGCTTATTTCTAACACAAAACGGATTTTTAAAGATTTTATCTAAACATTTAAACTTAGTTTATTGTGGTGGGAATAAACAATAAGCAATAAGCACCCTCTTTTTTTTTGTATCCAAACACCCCCTAAGTACTTCCTATAGATTTTGATTTGAATGTGACAGCCAACTATGAAATATATTTGTGTAAAGTTAAAAGTTGACCAAATGTTGTTGTATAAACACTTTAATGTGAAAGTTTATAATTTTTATCTAATCTTAGAATTTTTTTCAAAATGGGTGGTACGTGTGTTCCAAGGGTATTTTATCATAACACTCCAAAGGACTCTATAAATGTGATAAATGATACCTTAATTGTTTTCTTTGGCTTCGCTCATGTGTCTTGAATATACTTGTAAATCCTTGAATAATTTTAAAATTATGGAATTAAGAAAAATCTCTCTACTTCCTTATCGATCGATGTAGAACGAACAATATGGTAGCTTGGCCGACTAGCTAGATCGATAAACAAATAGATAAAAATTATGAGAGAAATGTGAGTGAGAAGCGGGTGGAGCCTGAGTTAGGAGGGGAAATCTAGACATGTGGTAGAGTCAATGGAATTCTCCACGTCATAGGAAGACAACATTGGAGTTATATGTTCAACATCCTAGGAATCAACGTACCAATAAGGAGGATTGCCGTTTATATGACACTAAGAATGAAGGGCATTTACTAAATTAGAATGAAGTGATTGTGTCTGATTCGAAAATAAGGCGAACTTCGGACATTGGTGGGAAAAGTGGCCATTTTTTTAGAATGTTGGCAATTAGCAGGTAACCATGTCCTAACCACTAGAACCACCGCCTTAGTTTTTGTTGTTATGCCCATGAAGAACCACGGTCGAAGGAGGTATAGGAGCACTGATTTTGTTGAGAAATAAATACAGTTTGTTAGATGTTGGATCCATTCATATTTTTGTGAATAATTTGTGGCCTTTAATTTAATTAAGAAGATCACAAGATGATGGTGGCATTTTGACACTCTGGTGAATGGTATAGAAATTTTTTGAATGAAGGTTGAGGCCATAAAGAAACTAGTAAGAGTTATTAATATCATCGATATAATAGAAAATGGAAAATAGTTAGTCGTAGAGGGTTCTAAAAGTTCAACCATGTTCATAAACAAATGATGTGCCATTTTAAAGTCCATGTAAAGAATGATAGAGGTCTAGCGTTTGGATACTAAACTAACTACTGTAATTAATTATGTTACCAGTAGAATCCATACTTGAACTAAACCTAATATACTCAACTTCCTTAGTAAGAAGAATGACACATAAAGGATGAGTTAGTTCGTTAAGATGGTTGTGATATAAAAGGGATACTTCTATTTGACAAATCACAGTTGTGGGAGTCAAGATATATCAATATACAAGAACAAGTCCGTTAAACACCCCCCACTCCAACATGAATTCATATCAACTTGACTATAGATTTACATGTATAATTAGGCTTGTTATGTTGAATACACTCTTGTGATGTAATCATGTTAAGGTCATGTTCAGTGAAACTAGCTGGTAACAGATAACGGGTATCGGGTAGCCGATAGTTCGTAGCGTTTTGTTAAATGCAACGTGAGATAACTTTTAGATTTGGAGCATTTTGTTTAAACTAAACGCTAAAAGTTTGTAGTGCCAAACGATACTTTTTTTATTTAAATTGAGCGTTTTGTCAAGCACTAGAAGCTTCTAAATGCTCTGTGTCAAACACGCCCTAATATTGTCCTGCTAATATGGAGCATTAATTGGGGGATCTATTCCTAACTTTTATTGGGGTTATGGGCCCATTGATATGGATGATATGTTGTTCAACTTATATTGGAACTAAATTGTCCTACTAGTATGGAAATTATTTGCATACACATAAATTCATGGTGGTTGATGGGTTCTTTGCACCATAAAACAATTATCTTGTAAGAAGCGAGTATGAGGTTTCAATAAGGAATAGATAAAGTACCTTATAGATTGTACTCTTATGAATGTTCTATTTTTTAATACTTTAGATTCTTTTTATGAATACAACGTTTTTACACAAAAGGTATTGTTATGCTCTATTATGTATCTCACAAGGAAAAGTAATTATCTCATTTACAAGTGGTTATTATGTATTCCAAATATGCATAAGAATTAGGTTGTTATATATGATGAAGATTGTATTATTTTTTTAGTCCTTCAAGACACTTTTACAGGAATTAACATTTACAGAGAAGTGATAGCCCATCTAATCATTTTCCATATTAGTGTTAGTAAATACCAATGTTCTAATTAAAAAACTTGTCATGGCACGCCATGGCTTTAAGGCTTGTACTTGACACCGCATTTTAACAAAATTCTGCCTTAATTCATATATCTATATAAAGATGAATAATAGTAGAAAATCTCTATAGAATTATAAATTATATATAAAATTATCGCCTTAAGTCATGCCTTACAAACAGCGTGGCTCGTCATGGTTCTTAAAAGCTTGAGGCTTGAGATTGCTGTCGACTCACACCTAACATTATTTAGAACCTTGGTAAATATGTACATACTTCTTTGAAAGAACCCCTTTCTATACTTTCATATTTCTGAAAGACCCAAACTTTCATACTTGACAATATAGTTATTTCGAAACATGCTACATGCATATTCATAAAACAATATTTTATATTGATAAAGCGGTTACAAACTACTGGATACAAACCCACTATTTCATAGTGTTATATATTACATAACTCCCCAGGATGCTATAGTTTTATACATATGGGAGTGCAAAATACAATAGATTCAAACTATTCGAAAATCTTCTATCAAAACAATAGTTTCAAACTATTCAAAAATCTTCTACCAGTATATCACTATACTGGATGCTTATCTCCTGCAAATTAGTTAAACATTGAGAGGGGTAAGCGGTGACGCTTAGTGAGTTCAATAATAGATACAATATAACGTTATGCCATATATATACTTCACTATGGCAGAGGCAAGGAGGATGAAGGAACAAAAAATGCATATGTGAATCATATGACAAACTTTCCATATCAATCATTGATTTGATTCAAAAATATACAATCAATGAGACAAAAATTTCCATACTTGATATACATCAATAAAGCTTTGGCCCAAATGGCACAGAAGACATACAACTTCGGATTAACCTTTTGGTAGATTTCAGGCTTATAGCCCTGTCTAACCTTCTGCCAATACCATAGAATAGAAATCATTCTTTTACGGAGACATGTTCTACATGGCCAGAGGCTACGTACCAGTACCAATATGAATCTAAGTCCTTTCACTGATCACATGGTCAAAGGTATTACTTTGCTATTAAACATAGCGAATAAAAATTAACACGGGAAAATAAACCGGAATAATAACACTGAAAAGCACATAGCACATATAACACATAACATACAATTGTTCCTATATATTAAACTCACCGA